TTCTCGATCCTCCTAAGCCACGGTCTCACGTTTAACGGTTAGTTCCGCCCGAAGATGGATAACCCCATCGATAAAATAAGGACTGTCATCTGCCATAAAAGATTCCCACGGTACGCTGAACAAATTCCGGTACCCAACCGCCTTCCCACCCGTAAAGACATAATTGCCCTTGTACTTGCTGATGTAATCCTCCATCGGCTTCGACCTGGCGGCAAACTCATAGTCCACAGCAAACACAACCGAGCCCTTCTCCTGCATTCCCAGAAAAAGCCCGAAACAGTTAAACGAGCTCTGCTGGTCCATGTTGCAGTGGGCCGAGAGAAAAAACCCTTGCCCACCAAAATGGAAGGCCTGCGAGTAAACCCGGCCCGAAGGGTAAAGGGCCCCACACTCATCTTTCTTGAGGTCCAAGTAGACCACACACTGCTGGCGGGGGGAGTCGAACTCGACCATTTTAATGGGCCGGTACCTGTAAGCCCGCTCGATAAATCTGCGGGCCTTGGAGGATGATGGTTCCTCGGAAGCTTGGGCCCGCTGGCGGTGTGGGGCCTCTGTTTTGAAGAATAGGGCGTCGAGCACGGATTTTGTGGCGAATTCGCGGTCAAAGTCGAGACAGGTGAGGACTTTCCGTAGCTTGCGGGAGGTCATGTGGGGGAATCGGATGTGGCGGCCGAGGCGCGTGCAGAGGATTTCGCGGCGTTCGTCGGGCTCCGGGTAGTGGGTTCGGGCCCACTTGAGGGCGATGTCGTAAACTGCGTCCTCCGAGGGTACTTGAAGGTCGTCGCTCGATAGGACGGCTTCGATTCCGGCGAGTGGGAGGTTCATGACCTCGTCTTGGTACCTGATCATAATATCAAAATAGGATCAGGGTAAGTATTCATTTGGGATTTCTAAAAACTCTGTAACACTTGAGAAATCCTGGTGTATTTAATTTAGAAGTCTCAAAAAGTTCTAATTGAATACACCAAAATTCAAAAAGTTTAAATTGAATACACCCCGCTAAACGTCTCGAGGCATTCATTTGAGATTTTAAAAAGCCTTACAAAATCATGAGGTATTTAGCTTATTTGAGACTGAGATTAATTAAAACTTTTTAAGATTTGTTGGGATATCAAAAGAAAAAACCTTATACGAAATCACACTTCAAATCCCACCTCCAGAATTAAGAATTAAGATTTCATATGGTTCCTCCAAAATATAAAAATCTTAAAAAGTCTCAAAATGTCACTTGAAATCCCAAACAAATACACCCCACTTATTTGAGACTAAAATTTGTTAAGACTTTATAAGATTTGATTGGATTTCAAAAGAAAAAAAACCATATATCCAATCCCGCTCCAAATCCCACCTCTAGAAGTTTTAGATTTCATACGATTCCTTATAAATCTGAAAATCTTAAAAAGTCTCAAATCTCAAAAAGTTTCAAAATGTCACTCGAAATCCCAAACGAATACACCCCCCCAATACAACATTTATATTTGGTTTTCTTAAATCAAAGTGTTGAATGTAGCTAAAAGCAATGCCCTTCTCAATCTTATGATCCTCAAGAGGATATTGTAATTGTGGAAAATAATTGTCTATCTTTCTAATCAAGCTACAAGTAGTGGGTAGATTCATAAACAAAGAGTGATTCCCTTTTCCCTTGTCGAAACATTAAAGCCTACACCAAAAGACAAAAGAAAAAACATGCACAGGAAAAGGGAAATGAACAAGGAAAAATCAGTTTAGATACATTTTTTCTCTCTCTATTATTAATATTGTTTAACAAATCCCCATAGAAAGGAGAGGCCAGCTGAACTTACTTTGAAACATCTTTATAGCGAGATGCCAAGAACTGTTTTGCAGCATCTGTAAGCGGTTGAACAGCTTCAGCCATTAGAACACTCGAAGGAAGATCGAGATACAACAATGCTGACTCTGGAGTCATAGGAAGTTTTCTCAGCAGATGACTACAATATCTCATGCAAGAAGCCACCTCAAACTTGTCGGCAGCCATAAGAACATCCAACAAAGAAGGGGCTGTGTCAGAGTTTAAGGTACTGCTGTACATATAATGCAGGAGCTCCATAAGAGCAGTTTCCTCTGATTCATTGGTGAAGGCACGAGTCAGGTAATGCAATGTTACAGAAAAGAATAAAATTAAAAAACAGTCAAAAAATTTATCTAATAAAAGCAACTGATGACGTACCGGAGGCATTAATTCTCAGGGTTACATGTCTCTGTTCTGACTCCATCATACCATTTGAGAACAACTGCAAAAATGGAAAAGTAAATATGTATAAATAAAACACCTATAAAGCCAAAAATTTACTACATTATTTTATTACCTTGTAGAAAAATGGACTTTTTGCTGCTAATATTGGAGAGCTTATATGGACAGTTTTAACTCTTAGGACTCTCTGACCATCTTCCGGCCAAATTGAATCATCACTATCTGCAGCTTCATCTTCTACAAGGAGACATAAAATATACAACAATTAGGGCAGAAACAAAAATATGGAACATCAATTCTACTTTAATGTCTTCTGTATATTTAGATGTAAAACATAATGCAAGTGAGAATCTAATAACACCAGAAGCAATGCCAATTTTAATAGAATCGACACCAATTTAGCCAGAAAGAAGACATGGAGGAGGATATTAAAAGGAAAACCTTTTCTATCTTGTAATTACACAATACCTGAATGTAGATCTTCATTAATCAGCATTTCTTCTTCATCATGATTCTCATCACCCACCTCATCTTCACCATCTGACGGACTATCTAAAATCTGCTCTTCAGGGCATTGGTTGATATCCAAAGCTGAAAACGAGTGGCACATGTCTGATTAAGATGAGCACAACCCATACCCACATAAGAACGTGTAGAAATCGGAATTATGTATAAAAGACAAAACGAAATGCAAAAGTCATCAGAAGATCATACAAGTAATAGATTACAGTTGATTTGTAGAGAATATTAATCTAAAAGCTTTTCTAGAGGCTAATCCAAAAGGAATGAATACTTGAAAACCATATAACGTCAATAATTACTGGAGAAAGAGGTTAGCATAAGTAAAGAATACTCCCATAGTCCCATTTTCCAGAAACAACACACTCCCATGTTTTGACAGAAAAAATTTGAATGAACCACCTTCTCATTGCCTTAAGAAGAAAGAGCCAGTAGCCAGTAATAAAGTGGCTAGGGCTCAATACCATATATATTAAATACTTGTGAATTTTCTTCAATAAATTTTCCTCCGAATCTACAGCTGCTCATTAATATTATCAAGCTAAGCTCATCAATTACTGAAAAAAAATAATAATAATCCCTCATCTCATATCATGGAGACAAAAAAGTGCCTGAAAAATAGGCTGTTAAAGAAGTGTTATAATTCGAATATCTCCAATCGTTGTTATTCATCAAAAGCACGAATTTTGGGTGAGGATTACAGCATATAAAAAACAAAGCCGGCTATATATAAATAAACTAAGTACCCCAATTTCAAGAATGAATTTATATGTGAGTCAAAACAACAGAG